CTGCTGATAACATTTTTTTTCTAATTTTTGGCTATTAGAAATGATTCTGTTATGAATATTCAAGTACAAGTTTTTGTATGGACACATGTTTTTGATTTCTCTTGGGTATATACCTAGAAGTAGAATTGCTAGGTCATATGGTAACTTTATATTTAACTTTTTGAGGCACTTCTAGACTGTTTTCCAAAGTGGCTGCACCATCTTACAATCCTGTCAGCAATGTATGAGTTCTAATTTCCCTACATCCTTGATAACATTTATTATCAATTTCTTTTATTATAGCCCATTCAAGTGGGTATGTTAATATTCTTTGTTTTAAAATCAAAGTCATCCATAGACATAGTTTAAATAAACTAGGCATAAAGTATAGATGTCTAATCCCTTTTATTCCCATTTCTATAAGGTGCCTACTTTAAATTCTGTTAGTGGTTTCTTCATATCTTATGTTTCTGGTAATATGGTTAACTATTCTTTAAAAAATAAGTTTTAGGTACTATTTCTTAACTTCCAACTGTGGAAGATGAACATTTAGTTTTTTTCTGTCTCCTGATGTGCGCACAAATACTTCGTCCTTCTATCTTTACAATATGATTATAATCTTCATTGCTGGTTAATCAAAAATTGGCATTTTCATTGTTATGACTATGCATTTACAAAGCTCAGTGATGTACAAAGATTATATTTACTTAATCATACTTTGTTCTCCTTAGATTTCCAATGACCTAGAGGGAAAAAAAATCTGCCTTATTTAAAGTTTCCTTAGTTTTCTATGTACCAATAATTCCTCTTAAATTCTGTAGGAAAATTAAAAATCTCTAGATATATTCAAACATGCTGGATATTCTACTATTTCTTCTAGGGATGGGGAACCTGTGGTCCTCTAGGTCCCTGAGTGGCCCCCTAGACTGAAACTAAACTTCATATAACAAATTCCTTTTAAAGAAGGACCATTTGGATTTAGTCAAAAGGCTGTACTCAAAGATCCAGAAGGCCACAGGTGGTCCCAAGGCTGGGGGTTCCCCACCACAACCCTGGCTGGTTCACAGTATTAATGCGATGAGTTCATTTTACAGGTGAGGTGTCAGAGGCCCTGGGAAGTGACCCGACTTGTCAAAATGACAGCAAAATTTCAGGAGAAGAGGGATAAGACCTCTGGTCCTCTGGGTCTCAGACGCCTTCCACTCTGTCAGGTTGCTTCCACAGAAGAACAAAGGAGATGTGGACTCCAGATCTTTTACCCTCCAAACGTATTTAATTTCCTGAAACTTAAAAACTAACTGCGAGTGCTATGAATGCAAATGAAAGGGCACAAAATCATGTCATCAAAACATGAAAACTTTCTCAGTATATGTTGCTGTATTTAATATTCTCAAAATTGTGATCAGCTAGGAGCTATGAAATCCAATCCTCACATGAACTTACCCTGAGGATCATTACTACTAATTTGAATTTGAACATTTCCAAGGCTAGTTTTTCCCTAATTTAATTCCATGCCCAAGTAGTGCATTTCCACATGACTGTTTTGTGGCAGGCACAAGCTGTTCTTTGTCTGACTAGCATCTACTTTCTCATCCTCTGGTAAGAGTTCTTTGATTTTTATTTGACCCCAGGGATGGCGACATGACATGGGGCACAGTATGGGACAGGGGACTGCCAGGGACCCTGGGCTAGAGAGGACCTGCCCAAGCTATTAGCCCACTATTAGGAGAGCTGACAGGGACAGAGTGAGTAAGCAAGTCTCAATGACCCGTTTAGCCTTTGCATTCTGCTTTATCTTCCAGTTTTCCAATTATGTGCACCAAATAAATCCCTCTTCCTGTTAAGCCTGTTAGAGTTGTGCTTCTGGTGCTTACAACCAAAAGGGGCAGTGATGCCCACAGACGCTGAAGGTAGAGGCTGAGCCACTTCCGTGTGTCCATGTGGGTCCGACATCTTTGAGAACCCCTCATTTCACTTTTAGCAAGGGAAAAATAAAGTCTTCTCACTTTAGTTCAGACTTAGAGTAGTTTTAGTCTAATGGAGGGTTGATTTCAGAAATAATAAAAAACCTCTTAAATTCAGATTTCTGTACATCTTCATAGAACAGAAAAAAAAAGGCTAATGGTTTCAGCAATGACTAAATATGAAGAGAATAACACCAAGGACAATTTATCAAATACTCAATAAAACACATTTTGAAAGGCAACCAGGATATTAATTTTATATCATCTAAGCATTTTTGGCAGTTACATATTTTTCAAAGCATATTTATATCCATAACTTCATTGTAACTTCAGATCAGTCTTTTCTAATAAATAACCTATATCTTTTTTTTTTTTTATTGTTGAATAGTAACTGTGTACATTAATGCACTTCTGGGGTACAGTAACCCATATCTTAAAGTCATAGTTCAGCATAAAAGCAAATCAAAATATATTT